GTTTTTGATGCTGCGTCCGGCAGCATTACGGCTGGGAAAATGACCACTGCTAAACGGTCGAAGAATAACGATAAACATGTTACGGTTATGTCACACTCGAAGAGGCTGCTGTATTATAATAGGTTTCGAAAACACGCACGGGAAATCCGCATTAAACACGGTACATTCCTGATTGTGTTACTCTACTCTTTTACGAGTACAGAGCTAAGGCACTTGGGTCTAATATTAAAGTGTTGTATGTTTGGTTTCTTCAATGTTCTCAATACCTTCCCCGTATCCTTTGGAGATATTCCTTTATTTTACTGCTGTAACTTGTAACCTGCTGTAGCACAGAAAGTAAACCCGCCATTAATATTAAACGCTTACCAATCGTATTCCGAAGTTAGCGAATCGTCATTATTCTTCCTGGCGGCGAATTGGTCTGCCCAATTGGAAACATATGCGAAAGGAAGGGTAGAGTTTTAAGGCTACATCTCTTATTAAGATAATATGCAAAAACATACGAAGTTAATTACAATGCAACTCGCGAATCACAAACTGCAGAAGAAAAATTGCTAAAGCAGCAGATAGGGAAATGCAAGAATAATGAACGTAATTATCTACATGTAGACTGGAAAAAACTTCCTTTGAAACCACAAAATGCGAGATTAATGTATTAAAAAGTTATTAAAACTCAAATAATCATAAAATTTCAAGGAAGAAAACCGTCACTTTCCTCAGCTTTTATTTGAACCTTCGTTCTAGTGGTTCTCTCAGCTTCATTGGAACCATGTAAACCAGCATGTGTAGTGTTACGTTTTCCGACCACGCCTTATCACGATGGGATATTTAGACTTCAATAGTATTAATGTCAAAACATTGCAAATAATTAAATAATTAATTTAAAAAATCCGACGAAACTCAGTAAGGTACATAATTCAAACATCAGAGAACAAAATTGTGGGCGAGATATTCTTCTATTATAACCGCTTAACAGACACGTGAACGATTTCAGACACAGGTTCCAAACGCAGAAAACCATCATTCTTCGTTTTGGCGGTCCTCCCAGCCCCATTGGAACCATATGCACTAGAGAGCGTGGTGTTGAGTTTTCCGGTCACGCTCTGCCCGACGCCCGGCCCCCGCCACCGCAAACTTCGGGCGGGCGG